AGATCCTATCTAGTCTGAACACACATGTCAACAGGCAAGATTAACTCTAGCTAGACATGGTTAGCTTGATTTCAATCACATGCCCATCCCAGATTCAATCCCTGTGGCCAGGAGTTTGAACAATGTTCTGATTGGCCAAGATTGGACCACAAGACTCCTCCTGGAGCAGAGGGTAAATGTGCTCCACCCAAAGCAGGGAGACGGAATGGGAGAGGGATGAGCAAAACAGGGTGGGAGGTGGGAGTAAGATGTTGGGCAGAGAGAGTAGCTACTGTCTATCAGGAGAGGCAAAACCTGTAACAATCTAGGCTATCCAGCAGGTCTCTTTGCTGAGGGCTCTGGGTGTAATTACTTTTTATATTCCAAAAATGATCATGACCTGTGACTTATATTTTTAAAAACTGATCATGACAATATAAAATGATGGTGACTCTGGAGTTTTCAATTACATGACTACCATTTGGGGTGTTTATTTTAATCCTCACCCAAGGACACGCTTAGAGAGAGGAATGGAGAAACACTGGGTGCCTTCCAAACCTGCAATCCAGGAATGTGCCCTGACTGGGAATCGAACCGGCAACCCTGGCTGCACAGGGCGACGTTCAACCAGAGCCATTCCAGCCAGGCACAATTTGGGGTTTGTTTTCTGTCACTGGCAACCAAAAGGGTCTGGACAAAGCATCCGATTTATGTATGTATGTATTTTTGCATTTTCTTTTAATCAAGTGCGGTCATGGAAATAGAACCCCAGGAAGAGGAGACTGCTGTGAACTGTTCCCCAACTCTTGTGAGGAGCAAAATTCTCATTTCTCAGATGACCCGTTTGGAAAACACCACTTAGCAGAATGGAAGAAGAGTGATGGGTACCCTGCTGCTTCCAATTAGCTGGCAGGTCCTGGGAGGGTGACCTAGCTGACACTGCCTGACCCTGAACCCCGCTCCAGGGAAGAGGGCAGAGGAGTTACTGCCCCTCTTCAGGCACACGGTCAGTGCAACGGTCAGCAGGCTCCCTGGGTGCTCTCGCTACCGTCCCCCACACAGGGCTTGCCAATGAGCTGTGCATTTTGTTACCAACGGGCAGAATAAACTGCAGAAGGCCTCCTGCACCCAGCTGGTGTGGGACACATCTGGGAGAGTGAAATCACCTGTCCAGAGTCCCACCCAGGCTGCGAATGCAACAGAACCTCAGAGTCACAGGCAGGCAGGAGCATCAGGACTGCTGAGCTCTGGACTGGTGTGGACCCCGGAACACCTGCTCACCTTCAGCCTCCAGGTCAGTGCTTTTCAAACTACCTGGGGCGATGCCCAGTTGTTTCTAATGACCAAGTCATCATCACTATTCCCTTTCCTAAGCAGGAGTAGCCACTGCCGTGATTGCAACTGCATAGATTAGTTCACACTGTTTTTATTCTTTATCTAAATGTAATATAAAAAGTATTACTCTGGCGACTGGCTTCATTCATTCAGCGTTGTTTGGGAGATTCATTGTATGGTTCATTCTCATGGCCGAATCGTATTCAGTCCGTGAGACTATCACAGTTCACTTATTCATTGTTCCGTTGATGGGTATTTGAGTAGGTTCCATGGCTTCTGTGAACATTCTAGCATGTCTTCCGGTGAACTTATGGGTGCATTTTTGCTGCCTGAATAACCAGGAGTTGTACTTCTGGGACACAGGGTTTGCAGGTGTCCAGCGTCAATAGATGGTGTAAACCTTTTTAAAGGCACTTTTCATATTCCATATTATTTTCATCTTTGCTGTGAATTTACTTCATTTCCCTTACTAGATTAGAAGTGGTTTTTCAATTGAATACAGTTTATGCCCTGCCTCACTTTAAAATGAGGGGTCTCACATACAATCTGAGATAAAAAACTGAAATGAGAAAGCAGAAAAAAAAATAAGATCGCGGTGGGGGGGGGGGGGGATGGCAGTGGGGAACGGCCAGAGAATAAAGAGAATGTAATAGCCCAAACACATTCCACAGGTCTTAGGTGCTTTTTTTTTTTAATCCTCACCCAAGGATATTTTTCCATTTATCTTCAGACAGAGTGGGAGGGAGAGAGAGGGAGAGAAAGGGAGAGAGAGAAACATCAACTTGAGAGGGACCCATTGACTGGTTGCTTCCAGCAGGACCCCAACCAGGGCTGGGAATGAACCACAACTGTGGCACATGCCCTTGGCTGGAATTGAACCCGAGATTCATTGGTCTGTGGATCGATGCTCTACTGCTGAGCCAAACTGGCAGGGTGGTCTTAGGTGCTTTTTAGAAAGCCTACCACAAAAGTGGTTGAGCTTCCTACCAGCCAATACGAAGAGGGAAACAAGTGACAAAAATCAATGTTCTCTGGATAAATGTACCAATGGTTCTGCAGTGTGGCTACTTTTGGTTCTGAGATTCAAAAAATGGCACCCCGAGTCTTCCTAAAGAGGATATTGCTTGGCCCTGGCCAGTTTGGCTCAGCGGTTAGAGCGTTGGCCTGCGGTCTAGAGAGACCCGGGTTTGGTTCCCGCCAAGGGCATGTGCCTCGGTTGCAGTTTGTCCCCAGCCCTGGTTGGTCTTGCAGGTGGCAGCCGCTCGATGTGTCCCTTTCATATTGATGTTTCTCTCTCTCTCTCTCTCTCCCTCCCACTCTATCTGAACAAAAAATGGAAAGGTGTCCTCGGGTGAGGATAAAAAATAAAAAAAAATTAAAAGAGGATATTGTTTGAAAGAAAAAATAAAGGACCAACTTCATTTGAGTAATAAGAAGAAATGTCAGTTTCTCCCTTTCCCCTGGTCTCCCTCACTATGGACATGCCAAGGCACAGTTCACTATAAGCAACGATTAGAAACTGATGCAGCCAGAGACACAATTCCCAAAAGGTCTGACTAAATTCCAGGGGATAAAATACTAAATCTGTGGTCCAGGGACCGCTAAGGGTCTCTAAGACCTTGATAGAGGCTCCGCATGGTCAAAACTATTTTTACAATTCGATGAAAACGTTTACCCTCTTTTACTCTCATCTTGAGTGTGGACAGTGCAGTTTGCCAGAGGCCGTGTAACATGTGATGCAGCAACAAATCGAATGCAGGAGCCAATCTGACAATCTAGCTGCCTTCTGTTAAGCTGGACATTAAAGAAATCAGCAAATTATTTTGTCTTGGAAAATAAATTTTTTACACAAATATATGTCCTACTAACCTAATGAGTTTGTTGTTGATATTCTTAAATGAATTAATAAATTTTTAAAAATGTGTTTTACTTTCTAATATAGCATCTATGGATATATAGCTCATATAAAGAGAAATATTTTGGAGTTTTCAAAAATTTTTAAGAGTGTCAAAGGGTCCTGAGACCAAAAAATTGGAGAAGCACCGGTCTAGAGGAAGACTTCCCCAAAAGGATGTTGTCGGTCACTAATCCCAGAAGACAACCCGCGAAAAATGTTCTGTGATCAAGTACATCTGGGAAATGTTATGCCTCTCTCGGAAATCAGCAAATTAGAAGCAAATAGTTAATTAACTTTAACTGTTTCCTAAATGTATTTGACTAAGACCCCCTCTTTCCAGGGCTTTCCTTAGCACCCGCGAAGCACACCTGGGGTGCATGAACTGCATGGCCCTTGGTCAGTCCTCATAAGGCCTCTTACAACCCGCCTTTGTCAAGTGTGGGCAGCAGTCTGACATTACCCCTCTGACAACAGGAAGAGTGATCCTTTTATAAAATCTAAGGCAGCTGAGCAGAACAAGAGAGCCCCCTTTATCTCAGGGAAGAGGTGAACCAAGGGCAGGGTCAAGGCCAGGACAAAGATCCCACTCAGCAGACTAAACTGAGTCTGTTTCATCCGACAAGCAGGCAATCGAGGCCCCAGAGTTCTTTCTGACACTCAGTCATCTCAGCCTGGAGAGCTTCCAAAGCAGATGGTACACGCGCTTGCCTCAGTCATAAAGAAATCTCAATTAAGCACCCACAGAACATTTGACTTTAAGTCACACAACTTCCCTCCAAGGAAAATAGTGGTCAAATGTACCCTGAATGAGCCAACTTCTTTTACTGGGTTGTTAACTGTAAGTCAGTTAAATGTTAAGGAAATCCTACCAAAAATGATGACTTTGGTTTTGGAACAACCCTATTTCTTTTTGACAGTAATTACAGAATTGAGCCAGTTGTCTGTTAAACAAACTCCCAGCGCATAATAATGAAATTATGTCATCAGGCTGCCCATCTAAAGAGAGACTACAGAGATGTGCAAGGCACTCTGGGAGATCTGAAACTGAAAAACAGGTGCCTCTTCAGAGCATCTCATCTAGCAGGGGCCAGAAGGGCATCAGGGAAAGAAGTAGCCTCACGCTCAGCTTTTGTAACACCTGCTGAGGCACCTGGTAGAGAATCGCATTCAGTAAATATTTGTCTCAACAAATTTGCTATTTGCCTTTAAAATGTTTACTTGTATACAAACTGACAAACACCACACAGTCATATATCTAGTCACATATAATCTAGTCAGCCTCTTGGTATAATTTAATGAGTTTACAAGAAAGGATTTACAGAAAAACGTAGACCCAAGTTGTGAAGTAAAAAGAAATCATTTTAATATGCCCATTTTCACTTCCCGTTAGCCCAACACTGATCCCTGCTATGCGTGCATCCCCCTTCGCTTGACTGGCTTCCTTTTTATTATTTCCCAACACGCAGCAATGCTCGACCAGTTAGTTCGGCCGAACTGTTTAAAGAGTACAATGAAACTTGTCTTTGAAGAGTTTTATCAACTTTAACATTTTCAAAGAGATCTATGAGGCTTCTCAGCATGGTGGTTTTTCAGAGAAATTTTCTATTTGGAAGATGGCAAAACAGACGAGGATCTTCCCAAGTCTCCTGGTTACTCGTATTCATATCACAGCACGGTCGGCTAAGTAGTAGAGGCTGAATAATAAGTAGCTCTCCAAACACAGCTGGGTGAGACAGCTTCATTTTTAGGAAGTAAACCGAATCACAGAAACCTTCCTAATGGTGTGATTTGTTCCAGGGTGCTTTTGATACTTAAGAAGGGAAATATTAATCCTCGTGCACAGTCCTCATTTACGGCATTACAGAGTCCAGACCGTTGCTCTACAGCGAGGTGATTTATTGCACTTGCAGCAGAATAGAGCATGAAGATGTCTAATTTTACAATCAGAGTTGGTGACAGCCGTCTCATTTCCTGCCAAATGGATCAGACCACACTTTCAACCCTATAGAAGAAAACATGAATAAAAACAAGATTTGTTTTTAAACTTCCTACCTCTTCCTTCAACCCCCAACACATAAAACGCCATCAGAATTGACTTGTGCGTCTGACGTGCAGTCCGAGGCAGAGCTGGCCGGCTGCGGGGGCCCTGGGATGAGCGGCTGGGAGGCCATGGCAGCCACCAGACTGAAAGGGCTCTGAAATCGCCCTGCAACAGGGAGCTATGTGTCTGGCCTAGGTAAAAACTAAATAAAAAAGAATGTTGCCACAGATCACATGAGTTTGGGTTAATAAGCTAAAAACCTCCCAATTCTCAGCCAACTTGGATCATCTTAAAGTAACTAACCATCCAGCCATAAAGGGAACTTCTGAGCTTTTGTATAAAGCAGAATCCCACATCAATTAAAACAGCTCCCAAGTAAACAGTATTATCCCAGGAGGGTAGTGTTTAAATAGGTGCTGGGTAAATAAGTCTGCAAAACAGCTATTCACGCTTCAAATTTAATTGTACACCTTACATTTTTACGCCTACTTATCAAATGCAAAAGAGGAAAGGTGCAAACTTGCAAAAAATATTCGGGAGGGAAATACACGAAATCTCAAGGTGGCCCCTGTAAGGTGCAACTGTTGAGAAATAAGTCGCACAGTCATAGTCTAGCCCCAAAACGGAAATGTGTTCTCCCACTGCGAAGCAAACACACACACTCCACACACAACACAACAGTACAAGGAAGATTTTGTCTTGATGTTTCAGTTTACCTGGTGGTTGCACATCTTCTTGTACAATACCAGCCCGGTTTATAGCTTGTTCCTTCTCTGAGAAACACAACAGAAAAATCACTTTTCAGCAAAAAGGGGAGGCAGTGGTGGTGGAAATATTTGTTTTTACATGGGACAATTAGAAACCAATATATGAGTGCTACTAAATTCAGAGATGCCATTACTCAAAGTTTTTAGGTTATGGAAGTTAGATCCTATGGCAAAAAAGCCTGGGTATTTTGAGTAAAAGAAAGGCCATATTTCAAGAGAAAAGCTCCCAACTAACATCTTTTTTCTGTGTGCTCAGCATTTTTGGAAAGGCAATGAAACAACAGGAAAAAAAACAACAAAAACAAATTTGAAAGAACTGGTGGGCGTGATATTATGAGGGGAAGGCTGCTGAATTGAAGGAACAAGTACAATTAACAGAAAACGATGTAGTTTATTTGTCTAAAATGTACTCCACTGATGGACTAGGCCCAGAGCTAAATATGCTATGTTTTTGATAGGAAATAGAGCAGAAAATTAATCTTCGGGTGGGTGGCTTTGGTTTGGGTAATTGAAGCTTCCCTAATTGATTGCAGGTGCTGTGCCAATTAGTGCGTTTTCGCTGCAGCAGCTCGGCGATCTTTGGAGATGTCCAACAGGCAGGGGCCGAGAGAAATTGGGCGTTTTATGTCTGCGGGCTTCAAGCACTCTGACACATCTTTATAAGTGGTTTAGAATAAACCCAAGGTCTGTGAAAACAAAGACTTATTATTTTAAGTATCGTGAAAAACAAATGGTGGCTTTTCAGGGGAAAGACTCGGAGCCAAAGGTTGTTTACTACTAAATTATAGTAATTAAAGGTTGTAATCAGACCTTTGTTTTAATCAGGCTGACAGTGTTTCTTTAAAGCCACATCTCGTTCTTATTTAATATTAGGCCATTTTCTTTATTCTGGCCTCTGACTTCTCATAAAATTACACAAGCATAAAAGTACAAGAATGAGGGTTTTGCCAAATCGAATATTCATTGAATTTGCTTCTCCGGCGCTGCGACAGAAAGTCAATCTTAAGTGACCTACCTGATAGTTTTATCAATGCTAAGTTTTGCTTTGGCAAATAAAACACTGGGTAATAGGGATGATGTGAATCTTGATATCTGATTCTAAGAGAGATGGAGAGAAGACAGGGCATAATGAAGCCCATTAAAGACAATGGCTGGTCCTGATTTCACTGGGCTTCTCTGAAAAGTAGCAAGTGAACGGCTACCACAACCCTCTGGACCAAGATATGCCAAAAACTTCTTCCACCTAGAGTGGATGACAGTGGAGCCTCTAAGGAGCTATACTTTCTAAAATAACTCATCAGGTGATCTCATTTCCTAAGATGTTAAAGTTCTGGAGGACTGGGCCTTACCCCAGTGTCAACATGGAAGTCTCAAAGGATGGATGTGTCTCAAACATGCTCTTAGAAAATGCCAATTAGTAAGACTATATTGTCATTGAGCGTGCCCGGAACAAAAAGATACAACTTTCCACACCTAAAAAGGTCCATTTATCCAGTATCATGGAAGAGGAAAGTGAGCTTTTTTTTTTTTTTTTTTTAAATAATTGCCAGAAAGCATTCTAGCCTACAGATGTAAGGAAGTCAGACACCCTGGTGTACCAAACACTCTCTGAGAGGTAGGAACTGCAAAGCCAAAGAAGCTGGCAAACTGCCAAGCATCAAAGGAAGTTGACATTCGATGGAAGGACAGAATGTCTAATTGTGTTGAACCTCTTATAATGCAATAGAGAACCAAGTAAAGAGAAAAGAATCCGTCTTCACATATTGTTGCTAATTGCTAATGAGGTTGGAGAGCCTGAGGATTTATTTTAAATAGACCATAATCTCTTTATAATCCTTGTCCTTATACACTTTTTTTTTTTTTTTTTAATGGCTTGGACAGGTTCCTACCAACTGTATAATTTGCTGAACCAGTTCCTACCAACTGATAAGAATTAGTATCCTATCTATATCCCCTGGTTCTTTAATCCATTAATGTTTTTTAAATACTCTAAGGCCAACACGGTCTTATATAAATTCATGATATGACACAAAGACTCTGTTTGTGAATGCAGGCTATGCTAAAAGGAAAACAAACCGGTCCCCCAGGATTTAGCAAGTACATCTTGATGAGGTTGACAGGTTTCTATTTTGTTATCATTAGTGAAATAGCAAATGTTTATAAACCCCAGTAAAAGGGCAACACAGAAGTGGGGGCAGGGGGTGTTAACTATGTGAACGATTCAGGATAAGCTAATTACTGATTTTTGGGAGTGAGCATGTTTCTCTCAGGAGTGAAATGATTAAAACGCAAATATAAGACACTGGGCCTGGGGCTTTGCCACGCGGGTTAGAAAAGGCCCTGTTCCAGAGTCTCAGCAAGCCCGATTCTGCCCCCTGGTGTTAAGGCAGTGGTTAGATTTGCAGTTTTAATTGAGGATCATTATCTCTAGAAGGGCCAAGGTATATTATTAAACTGGTAATGCATGCAGACCGGCAGATGTTTGTGTGGTAGTAAAAGAAATCACCTAATAATTTTTAAGTCTTTAAAAATGAAAACATATCCTTATATTTAATGGCCATATTGTCCAGGTGTAGAATATGACCTCAGGACCCCCACCCCCACCCCATCTCCTCCTGCCAATAAACAGTTAACATGAAAGCAACTCACAACCTAAGTAATTGGACAAATGGCAACATTTGAATGTAGACTAAATATTAGGTAATAGTATTGTATCAATAATAAATTTCCTGGATTGGATAACTGTATTGTGATTATGTAAGAGAATGCCCTTGTTCATAGGAAACACATACTTAAGTGTTTAGGAATGAGAACTCACAATGTCTTCAACTTTCTCTCAAATGCTTCAGCAAAATAATAGTAACAATTCTATTATATGTAGATATAATTATTTATATGTATGTATGTATGCATGTATGTATAGATATATTTTATATATGGGGGAGAAAGCAAATGTAGCAAAATGTTAACTGGTACCCTGGCCGGCTGGCTCAGTTAGTTGGTTGGAGCATTGGCCCCTACACCAAAAAGGTTGCCAGTCCAATTCCCGGCCAGGGCACACACCTAGGTTGTGGTTTCGATCCCTGGTCAGGGTATGTATGGGAGGCAACTGATCGATGTTTCTCTCTCACCTAGATGTTTCTGTTTCTGTCTCTCTCCCTCCTTCTTTCTCTAAAAATCAGTAAAAACATTTCCTCTCATGAGGATGAAAAAAAATGTTAACTGGTAAATCTAGGTGAAGAATAAACAGGAATTTATTGTACAATTCTTAGGTCTTTCCTGTTGGTGTGTTTTTTTCCTTTTTTTATTAACAAAAAGACACAACTGCAAAACAAGTATAAGAAAGTCCAACAACACTGTGACTGTTCCATGATGATCACTTAAAAGTCGCTTTTTTCAAGTAGCAAATCTAAAGTTTAAAAACTGCTTTCCCAGTGCTCCCATTTGCTGCTGTTGCCTGGACACATACATCACCTAGAATACACGGGGTGACACAGAACTAGAGCGGCCCTGCCGCGAGTGTGCGAGCCAGCAGCCAAGGGGGACCAAATGGCCATGCTGGTGAGTGTGAACCAGTGGCTGAGGGGACCAAATGGCCACTGGCGGCACTGGCTCCTCCCAACCCTGTAAACCCTTTGTAATGCTGGTTAGAAAAGAAGACTTTTCTGTCTGTGCATCTCACTTGACTCCATGGTGGAAGGAATAAAAAGCATATTTTAAGCACCTGGCATGTGAGGGAAAATGCCCTTCTGGCGAGAATCCCTTCCGCATCAAGTGATTCTGTGTACCTATGTCCGGACTCTGTACAACATATCTGTAGTTGGGAGAAGCCAGGTGCAGCGAAACGCAGAGCCAAGAGGGGGAGGAGCCAGGGTCCCACGGCTCTCGCGTGTCACCTGCACTCCGCTACTGAACACTCTGCTCGTGGGTGGGACAGGGCATCAGTAAGCAGCAGACAAGGTTGGGGAGTTAGGGTCTAGTGTCCACCCAGCAATATACTAGACGACCTTGGACAAATGAGAGGACTTAAGGAGCACAGGTTCTCTGGCAAAACTATGATTTTTTTTATGCTTCTGCAGCTCTAATAAATGTAAAAATGAACAGGACCACAAGAGAGGATCCGATTCAATCTCATTTCACAGGTTGGCCTAAAATGCCACATATAGGTTGTTTTCAAAAGGCCACATTCAGGATCACTGTCTAGTTCTAGGATACGAAAACAGATTAGGCTTCAAGCTACGGCATCTGTTCTCGTCCCTGAGCATGGGCTCTTCAGATAAGCCATGCTGTGCCAACAGGATAAGCTAAAAGGCACATCTTGGATTCCCTCCAGAAGCACAATGGTCTCCATACTTCTGGTTTGGAATCACTGACTACGAAGGCCAACTGCCATCTCCCTAGTGCTCATTTTGGTACTGAGGTGTCATGTGCAGAACTGACTTTGTACCTCACGTAACGCTGAGTCAGGTCTGGCTGGGTTAGTGAAAGAGCTGGAGCACACGGTGAATGTGAACGTGAAATCCCACGAGGCCGTCCTGAGAGAGCTGCTTGCCTGAATGTAAAGCATGGAAGAAAGACCTCCTTGGCTCGATTTTACCTAAGCAGCCTCCCTCCTCTTTTCCGCTGCGTTGTGGCGTATTCCACAGAAGCCCTGGAACCGCCTGTCCCCACACCCCCCATACGCAGGCTGGCCAGCATCAGGCAGGCTAGCCCAGCCGAATGGCCCACACTGACTTTACGCTTGAGCCCTACGTGGCCTCGGCTCCTCCCCTGGCTCCACTTCTCAAGGACTGGGTGTCTGCCCTGCCCTTCCAGAAACTGTAGGGCTTCTCCTAGGTCTGCCCAGAGTTCTGTGGAATATAAATGTATGAGGGAGAGTCAGAAGAGGAAGACCCAACAGGAGTGGCTGAAAGGCAGGAGCAAAAAGCAAAGTCCGGAGGACTGGCAGAGGGGGTGGTCACAGAAGCCCAGGGATGAGAAGGTCTCAAGGAAGGAGTGCCTGGCTG